CATTTCCACTACTTTGCACTATTAATGTCAGCAAGTGTGATTTTGTTTTAATGGATTTGGCAGATGTCCTATAGAAGGGACGATCGTGTGGATAACACGTAGTGAGAACTCTGACTGATCTACGTATCAAGTAAGCCACGTGGAGAACAAACGCCGAATTAGGGTGTTTGGCGGCTCGCTGCACTGAATTGAGCGTGGTACCACTGTGGACCTCAGACTGGTCTATTTCGGTGAGGCATTCAGTGTGAATCTTAGGGAGCTTCAAGGAGAGTTTCTGCGTCACAATATTGGGCAGCCGCATTTCACGTACTCCATTCCTTGAAGACATGGGGGCCAAAATTTTTGAAATGAAACTTGGATCGGTGTCTTGTCAATCATTTGAAGTAACACCTCTTAAATTCCTGCTGCTAAATCGTCCAGGAAATCGACAAACTATCCTTCTACCAGTGATTAGACACTGGTACTGCATGCTGAACAGATATGGCTTTTCCTGTGAACCTACTGCAGATTTGAAAAGAGTAGTACCTCAGCACCTAAGCACCTGCTTTGACATACGTCTGAGCAGCAGAAAACGTCTGATTACCTATGTGTCATTTTATGACACGAGGCTGATCCAGGACAGGACTGCATGCACTAATTCAATTATATTGTCAGGTTTGCCATCCACAGACAGCATGCTGACAACATCTCGATTGCATGCGATATGGGTGTGCACACGCTTGCGTGCAGCGCGCATTCAGCTTTGAAAAACCACATCAGTGAGGTCTAGAAGAACCACTACAAATTACATCAGATCCAGTCGCACACTCACATGCAGGTAGGTACTTCTGCCAGTTACGCGTTGCTCGGTTAAACGGGTTACAGCGAGACAAACCGACACAACCGTATTGTTAGTTCTCCTTGTTTTAGCTGCGGATATACGTGTAGAATGGCGATAGAGGGCACGTGGACGTTCACGAAGCAGTCGAACAGCCCCATTCCCTTTGACCTCCTTGAGACGCGGAGAGGCCTCTTAGTGCTAGCCATTTCCTCTGTATGTTTCATTCACTGACATCTGACCTAGTTTTGTTTATAATTCAAAACTGACTAAAATGATGCCCGTCGGAATATTTCCTCTTTCCGAAGAATGGACAGTTCACCACACTCGATCTGAGAGAGGACTCAAAATTGCGCGTGATTGCAACATGGTTGGAAGCCGCGAAGACAGAGGATGGGAAAAAATATCAACTTGATTGCTTTAAAGACAGCGTTGATTTTGTCGACCTTGAAAAAAGTTACCAAAACCTGAATGGATTTTTCGACTTTTAATTTTCTATGAACAAGCCGAGTCAATGAAAAGAACGTTATTGCCTGTTTACGTTTTGCTTAACTCTATAACAGTCATTGGTTTATATTTACCTTCGGCATCCTGTCATATTATTTGTTAGCTTATTTGTCTTCAATCAGCTAATAACCCAAAGATCCTCACTCGGCATTGTCATTGCTACCACACAACTGAAATGTCAGTCAATTGGTCTCCATCTCCGAGCGTTTTTCCGATTTAGGGGACATCTTCTTAGTTCCTGGATGTCAGTGAAGACGTCGTCGAGATCAGTAGACGTTGCTTCTTTGTAGGGGTGAGCATAATTATGCACTTGGATCTTATGTTCGCGCACTCAATCGTCAACTGTGCTGCACGTTTTTTGCGTTATCACAGTAACGCCTAAGAAACTTTGGTGTTGCATATCAATGTTGGGATGATGGGTCAATAACTTTGGAGTAAGATGGTGTGTTGGGAGTCTTTCTTCAATAATATGCTAAACTTTCAAGAAACAACACTACTAGCAGAAATCAGGTGCACTTCGGAGATCTCAGATTGTTCGCATTTGCTTTATGCAACCGGAAAACAAGTCGACAAGCTCAGTGACATCTGATGACAGCACTGCATCTTGACACCCTCTTTCCGCTGACGAAGTCACACTCAGGGCTCGCTCCAGTAACTTCTACTCTCCTTAGGAATGCCGCAGCTCAGAAAATATTTGTTTTACCTATGGAAGACTCAGAATTACACTTTGAATTTGATTGTGCAGTTTATCTTCTTGCTTCAGGCATCAACCCGCAATGCGTTCAAGGCGTGCAGATTGGAGTTGATAATAGGACGATATTACCTGTGTCCAAACATGACTGAAAACTTCGTTTCCGCCCACCTGTCTGCTACTTGTGAAGTCTATCTGGTGCACTCTAAAAACACGCGCTTACATACTTCCAATGCATTTTTCTGTTTTAACAGAGCTCAAGGCGAACAATCACTCCTGCCATTACTATCAATGACCACGGCCAAAAATTGTCATTGTCATTGACTGCCAGTGAGAAACGAGACTATGTGATCTCACGAACAGAACGTGCAAGGAATGCACCATTTCGGATGTCTGCTCACACCGACCTGGCTATCGTTTGCGGACACTTGGTAGGGGTCGACTTGTGGAACGTTAGTTTCATGCGCAAAGTATGCAGGCAAATTTTAGCACAAACGGAAACGAACCAGCACGCCAGCACTCAAATACTGTGATTTAGTTGGCAATATTAAGTAAACTTACCTCTGCCCGCAGCAAACTGCTCACTATACCAAGTCGTTGACTTTAATCAAAAACAATAGCATTATCTAGACCGCTGGTAATTTGTGGTAATTATTAACATAGCAAGAAGATACCGCATTACGAGTGCACGTTTGTGACTTGTCAATTGGCGCATCAACTCCCGTCTTCGTGTTGTCATCAAGAACTTAGCCACTCAACACACCACGACTTCCAGACGCCAACGATGGCTCCACCTCCCAACGGTAATGGGCGTCCGATTAATTGTGAAATCAATGACAATACACACAATGCCCTAATGACGGCAAATATACTGCAAAGGTGTCACCTTGTTGCCTTCATCACACAACCTCAAAATTGCATAGATGGTTAAAAAAGAAAACGTTTGTTGCAGGAACGCTTCAATTTGTAAACAAGAAGGCTAGGCTTTCTTCACTTTCATCGTTGTGTCTCGCATTTGCAAGAGACGTGCGCAAGTTAGGCCTGTAATCGTGAATTGTGGTTTCCACGTAAATCCATCCAGTTCTGAATCCTACAAACAACAATCAACGTGAAGATATGCGGCAGAAGCGTTAGATGTCAATCAAAAGAACCTACGTCTACTTCTGACTCCGACGAAAGCTCCAGCACATCGATACCGCCACCTGGATACAAATGTGAACACGATTAGCATTTGCGCATTGAAAGCATTACATAGCTGCAGTTGATTTCTAGAAGAAACCAAGACTCCTTGTAGTCACGTTCTACGAACTGTTGAGTTTGAACAGCAAGAGTCGAAGTCTAGAGAAGTCGACTTCGTTGGTAATGTCGAGGTTCTGAGTTAAGAAGAACTTTGAGTAAACTTGCAATGACCCTATATTGCAATAGAAACCATACCAAAGCAACAGGAATTTGCGTTTGAACGTGGTTATGCCATCAAGTCCCACCTGCTAGAAGAAGCCTTTTCTTGAACACAGCCAACGAAATCGGGCCACCAAAGCCTTGTTCTGGTCCAGCAAGCTTCGTCCACTGTCCCATGTCTCTGGCACTGGAGGGTACAGAAAAGCTCTCGACGGTGATTCGCTCTCCATCGTTGCCCCCAGCGACGACCACACGGTCATGGAAGTAGGCAATTCCTGGAGACCTGCGCCATTCCAGCATTGGGGTGAGTGCCCTCCACGAGCATTTCTCGGAAGTAACACCTCCACATTGTTCAAGCAATTCAACATTGTTCACCTCACGTTGAATTCGACTTTGCCATCCCCCAACGACGATATCACCAAATGCGGGTACGTACACTGCCGAGCATTCCGATCGTGCTGTTGGCAAATTCGGCAGTCTCTCCACCTTCAAGAAAATAAAACGATCACACTCTTTCTGAACTTATGCTTCAGGTTTCTATTGCGAGTACTGTCTGCCTATGTAAATGATTGCGTATTTTTAAATATAATAGTTTGACAGCTAAGGCAGATTTGAATGCACAATCCAAGAACATTCTGATTTGTACTGTTTTCACAGTTTTTTAAGCAAATGCTCTAGTGGCTGAGATACTGCGTTCAGAGACATTGCGAATTCGTCAGCATCATTTGAGCCCTCAGGTTCCCAAGACGAGGAATCATGTTCATTTGAAAGTCTGCATTCGCAGTTTAATTCAGACATAGTGTATTCAAATGAGAGAAATTAAGGAATAAGACCTTACATGTCTCAGGAAATGCACAAAAGCAAAATAAAATAATATGAACTTGCCTTTTCTGGAAAAGGTTGAAAAATTCACAAAAAGGCAAAGGTGACCCGGACGAAACGCCTCCAAACACGAAAATGCCTCCAGCATGCAGAGTAGCACAATGACCTGACCGTGAATGCATCATCGGTGGCAAACTGGCGACATCGCCACTATAGACGTCCATTATGTCAGTCTTGTCAGATGGGTCACCGTCGTCATCTTCGCCTCCGATCAACAAAATGCAACCTAAACAAGTGAAACTCGTAACAAGCAAGTCTTTGACACATACTCCTTCTTCATTGGTGATTACGCAAACGCACCATACACTGATACGACGACGCATTCCCGCCGTAATTCTAGTGCAAATTTAACATTTATATCTGGCTGACCAGGCAGGAAATTTGCAGTAGTGAAGTATGGTGTTGTGTCGCCGCTCGGCAACTCATACGCAATTACGTAGTCATCAAGGACTTCGATCCTGCAAGTGCAAAACGGACGTAAGGCAACACAGTCTCAAATCGGCACAATTGGAATTTAATAGAGACAAGGCCAAATTACGCATCAGAAGGGGCTGTCGACGACGCGGTCTTCCGTGTAACTCCAGGTTTCGTCACCTGCTTTCACGCATTAACAAGGTAGTCCCTATGACAATTTAAAAACTCGCCCATGAGTTCACAAATAACCACGATTTGTGAAGCATTAATGAGCATGTGATCTCAATAGCCCACCTGAAACTTTCTGGCAGATTCGCAAAACAGTTTGATGAGCACACGTCAACCAACTTGCGCGACGAAATATTGCCGAGTTCAACAGTCCCGAGAAGTTCTTTGAAGGCATCAGAGCTGTCATCTGGGTGTGCATCTTCAAACCAAGCTGCGATAACTCGCAGCTTCGAGTCTTCGGACACGTTAGATAGTCGATCGTCTTTGAGCATTGAAGCTAGGTATTCAGGGTCAGTTGATGAATAGAACTTGGGACCTGCGGTGAAGGCGTCAAAGTTGTCAGCGATCACAGGCACGCAGGTCCTCATCAGGTCATTATTCATAGTAGCGTTCGCGATCGACCAGAAGGTCTCCACAATGTCTCCCGAAAGCCTGAAACAGATTTTCCAATGAGAATCATCTTTTGCCGGTTTTGCAACATGAACAAAAAGTTACAACGGTGTCGTAAAACCGTTCTCTGCGATAAGTGAAAGGTCTACTCCGTAGACGCATTACCTTGGTCCGAGAAACTCAATGCATCCAGAAGTGAGTGTTGAGCAGCCCAAATTTGTCGATAGCAAGAAGAGGCTGGCCACATTGCTCATGTGATTTGAACGCGTCCAGTGTAAGCGAATGCCACGGCTGCTTCCACAATACTACAACGCGTTGTCGTGCAACGAACAATACCCGAACTTACTCTGCATTGAATCGCCTCCATTTCATACATGCTTGATCCTCCGCCGTCACAGCATCTGCAATGCGTGGGAATCGCAGAGCCAGTAGAAAACGGTTAGCTGGTACCTCATGTCCGTCTTTGGACTAAGTTGTCAGTGACACTCATACTAATCAACTTACGATTATGTGAAAGTCGAGCAGTTTCTTCCGATGTCTCAGCTGCTCGAAGCGGTCAAAAGGCATGGGGCTATTGGGCTGCTCCGTGAACGTCCACTGTTCTGTTACAGCCATTTCACATGTAACTGTAATCTGTAAAACAGTCCAAAATGCCAACACAGTCACGTATTATTGCTTTCTAAGTGTCGCGGTGCCAAGTGAAGCGTAACCAGGGATGCGCTTGTGTGTTTAGTTGTGAAAAAGTTTGTAGTGGTTCATGTGAACCACCATGATTCTGCTTATGTGGTTGGATGTGCAATGCGCGTGAGCGGGCGCACGCTTATATCGAATGCGACTGAGGGTCGTTGACAAAGCACTCTCTACGCTGGATTGTACCATCAAAGTGAGTGGATAGACCGGTGGTGAATAGCTTTGGTGCACGCACACACAATCACCCACGCGATGTACATATTCACACACACACACATCAGGAACGGTAGCTAATCGTGGAATTGCGTCCACTGGGCGTGCGCGTCGCTTTGTTCAGCCAAATGAACCTCAGCGCATTCTTTTGCAACCAGATCAAATGCGCGGTGGGGGTGTCAAGAATTGCACTTTGTGTGGATAGACCGGGCTGTTAACTAGAGGGTTTTAAGGTAGTGCTAAACCAAGCTACCACAGCATCTTCTCGGATACTTCCAGCAGAAGGCTGATTTTAGTAAATAGGAGAAATTGAAGCTGGTGTTAAATAGATTTTTTAAGAACAATTCATGTGTCAATGCGGTTTTTAATTATAGACCATTGTAGCCCACACAACCAATCGCTCTAATCTACAGAATATTCGATTTTACCTCGAAATAATATCTGATATTCTGCCAAGTCATCAGTTACCGCCTCTGTCAAGTGGAGAACAACCTCCAACTGTTGTGACAGCACCGTCAAAACGTGCAGAGAAGAGAAAAGTAAGTCTAGAGAGGACCAGACACGACGAGATTCGCACAACCCATTTTATTTACTTGCCCAGCATCTCGTGTGTGTGCGTGAGTGAGCTGTAATATAAGAATGTTATTGGTGGAGATACACGTGTAAAATGGCGATATTCGAACAAAGTCACTTCTTCAAGGGACACCATGGAACATTGTGCGCCACACTGAAGCCTCCTCCTCTGTCTCATCCACAACCTTCTCAATCCGCAACCAATCAAATTGCTCAGCCAATTACACACTC